ATGTTAATCTTTGCTTTTAATTTTGCATATATCTAGAAAAGGGTACGTATGTGATATTACTCTCGGAGAACTCCATCGTTTATATATATATATATATATATATATATATATATATATATATATATATATATATATATATATATATATATATATATATATATATATATATGATATATATCAAATATTATCAGGCCTTATGAAGATCTAAGCTTACAGATCAACAAATATCATGTCTTTCCAATTTCATATCCTGAAACAGGATTGGTAGGTGTGAAAATATATATTTATTTTCAAATTTGATTCCAGTTGACGTTAGTCAGCAGCCTTTGTTCTGCTTACAAGTATTTTTCTGGTACAGTGGTTGTATGTTTCTCAAGCCGCAGTTGTCGTGTTATCGTCATTATCTACACTGGCACAGACTGTGACCAGGTGTTGTTGCTATTGGTTACAATTTACAATACCTGGGGTAAGTAGCCTTGTGCATAGCATAAACTTAGCTGCAATTCTAGTCATCCCAATGGTTGGATAAAACTACTTCATCAGTTCATGGGTAAATAAACAGCAAAACCTTGGTTGGAAGAGATGCAACTAGCCAAAAAATACAAGGAGAAATGGAGAATTTCAACATTTCGAGCAAAGGCTCTGTGTCGGGAGGTTTGTCACTAACTTCCCGTCAAAGAGCCTTCACCCAAAACGTCAAATTTCTCCTTGTATTTTTCTGGTAGTTGTATCTCTACCAACCGAAGTTTGATGATTATTGAAACTGTCTGTACCAGTGTGGGTAGTACCAATGTGAAAATGCTGTGCTGAGTGGTTATATTACTCCCGGCGTACTTAATCGATAAAAAACGATCATCGGAAATCCAATCGATCAATCGATGGTAATCGATGCTAATTACTTAACTGATATCGATTGACATTGATCAATCGATGACCAATCGATAGTCACAAAAAGTTATAGCCAATTTTATCGATTATTATCGATATTCATCAATTTTCATTGATATTTATCGATTTTTATCGACAAAATGCTTTCGATTTTTATCGATTTATATCCTAAATAATCGCCGCGTGTCGGTGTGTTCGAGCTAACTGATAGTAAATATGTTCTCATTTTTCGAATATACACATGTATTTGATCTGTATTATAGCTATATGAAAACTTAATTTAATCCATTGTTATTGAATTCCGTTCACATTTGAGTTTGTTACGACATTAAAGTACGTATTAATTAAATTACGGCGTTTCCTGTTTGATTGCATGCATATTAACTGAGGATTTTTTCATCAATGAAAATTAATAAATCGATGATTAATCGATGAAAGTCACAGCAAAAGAAGCCATCGATTATTCATCGATTTCCAATATCAATCGATTGATAAATATTGATTGGTATTGATTGATATCGATACTCATCGATTATCGATTTCATCGATTAAGTACGCCGGGTATTACTACCTTAAAAAACAAGCAGAAACTCAACGTTTGGAGCGAAGGCCCTTCGGCTACTAATTCTTGACGAAGGACCTTCGATCGAAACGTCGAGTTTCTGCTTGTTTTTTAAGGTAATATAACCACTCAGCACAGCATTTTTGATGATTATTGACACTATAAACTACACTGGCACAGAACCGTTCAAGCAAATAAACAGTCCTTATTTTAGTACTATTCTTCTATTAGCCTGGTCATCCTAGCTCCAAAATACATATACTGTATACCTGCATTTGAACGTATCATAGTCTTCTTTTTCTTTGGTTTCAGCATATCGCTTCTCCTTCGACACAACTGAATCACAGTTGTGGCGAATTGCAGCTTCCTCTCGGCAAAACCAAGTGTAAAAAATTGCTCCCTGGTCAAGGGCGGTTTTGTGTTAAATTCGTCCCGTAAAATACGATAAATAACCGACACAAAGTTTTTATCACTCTTCCCAAGAAGTTCATAGTCTTTTGAGTAAAAATACTGCGCCAGCTCGATGGAAAATTCGGTCAAAACGAAGTGTAAAATTGGCAGGAATGCAGAAGGTCGGCCAATGCTAAGCCCTTCTATGTCCAGCTCGCTAGCGTAGTTTATAAGCTTTAATTCAGCGTCAAACTTTCGTAAGTTGTTCTTTAAATCCCCAGTAGTCATTGTAGAAGAAAACGTGTTTGTCTCTTACAGAAAACACTGAAAAATACCGAAATATTTAGCTCAAAATTTTGCTTTGAAAAAAAATGGAGATTTTCCTCGCGGCTTTCCCCGCCAAAATTCAAATGCACGCAGCACGTATTTTCACGGTCTCCGTGGTCGTATTTTTCCGAAGGCGTTTAGCCAATCATATTGCACAATTTCGAACCCGACGATAAGTTAGCCAATCATATCGATCTACTTCTGCAATCGGAAATCCTCGTGATTTTCCCGGGTCAATGTTTCCCCTGATTTCTATGCCTCTGTGATCAAAAGTACAGCATAAATTACGAATTTGTCAAACACGTCAATAGTTTTCGAGTATATTTATGTATTGGGTTGCATATTCTATTCAAATGCTGTTCAACGAAGCCGTAAGTAAGTGTTCATCTCCAGCGATAAGTTGGGGGGAAACGAGTTCTATTTGAAGATGGAAAATCAAAGTAGGAACAGAAATAATAATCAAAAAAGCCTTGAGAAAAATGGTTTCCAAAACGGTTCGACGCCAATCGGTAAAAGTTGCAAATGTCACGGATCGAATGGTCTGCATCGTTTTACGTGCGAATGTCTGCCAGACCATCTACGGTTTAATCAATATGTCCACACTGGGTATCGTGCTGATTTAACCCCATGGGAGTGCCTGAAAAGTTTATTTTACTTACATAATGAAAGCTTTAATATTTATTCGCATGGTAAGTGCATAAAAATGTGGTTTTTGGTTTTATCTGTGCTATTTTATATACGTAAATCCAGGGACGAATTTAATTAAGAACCTTCCAAGTGTATCAAGATTAAACATTCTTACATAATAATCCCGAATCAAAGTTCACTTAACCGCTCAAAACCGTGCCACTCGACCAGACGGTGGTTCTTTTGTAATTGGAGTTAAAAGTGGCACCCTAAAAGTGGCACCTTACGGTTTCTCTGCTGTTCTTAAAGTATAATATAAAGCGAAGTTTAATTTTGGGCGGGGAAACCGCAGCGGAAACCACTTAACCACCTAAACTCCGAACAGAGTCCACAATATTCAACAGTGATATTATTTCGAATTTATTGCAAATTCATCATCAGACTCTTTTTAATGAAAAAAACGGATTTTGGCATTCTACTATCAACACAGACTTAGCACCATATGTTTATTGGGCTATTACATAAAAAAACCAAACCCCCCCTGTCGAGGACCTCCGCTTTTGGGGATTTTACCCCTCTGGAATGCAAAAAAATCTGTGTAATTGACCCCTCTGGAAGAGACTTGAACCCCCTCTGGAAGTGCATTTTTGCTTTTTAACCCCTCTGGAAAGAGCATTTTTCTTCCATTTTTCCCAATTACCCCTCTGGAAAAAATTACTAATTTCCCCCTTGGAAAATGAGGTCCTCGACAGGGGGGGTACGGGCATTAAATGTAATAGCCCATTATTTGAAAAGTGATTTGCCAGTGATTGCTTGCCCAAATATTCGCTATATTAAACCAATTAATTAACCCCAATTCAGACTGTATAGTTCACTGTGAACCTGATATTTTTACTTATTCCACTCAAGTAACTCTTTGTGGCAAGTCTAGAAGACAAAGCCAATAACTCAGTGATAAATATTTGGGTGGTGAAAAAAATCCTGCATACAGCTCTGTACCTAATTCTATTAATATTCTGTCTTAAGGAAGACAATGTTATATAACAGGGAAGGAAATTCATTGATGGGTTAATCAGAAATATATCAGGCTATTCTTTTGCTAACCAAATTAAGCCACAATTTGCCATAATTTGTTACTAATAGGTTATTAATTAACCAAGATTCATGATTTCTTATTGGTTATAACAGCCAACTGTGAAATTGTCACATCATTTCAACAGCTGCAAAATATGGAGTTTTAACATTCGACAGAATGTTTATAATGTTGATATGTTTGGTCAGCATTGAGTTGATATGACGATTTCACAGTTGGCTGCAATAGCCAATCAGGAACCATGAGTCTTTTAAATAAATAATAATTGTTAATTATTTTGCTTGTCAAGGAAAAAGTGTTGGACAGTTAGGAGCTAACACATCATTATTTACTCTTTTCTATAGGCCTTGCAACAATTGTTTTGATATTGCTGAGTCCGTACTTTTACAGCAAGATAACCCTACTACAGTTTGACCCATTCCTATATCCCATTCACCACATTACATGTACTACATGTGTATTATTCAGCACTATGTACCACCTAATGATGTGCCATGAGGGAGGCAAACATTCATACATATGCTTGATCACGCTCGACTATTTGGGTATATGGGTTGTGACTGGCCTATGTTGTATAACGTTCCTAAAAGCAACGTTCTTCTGTTTTCCACAAGCATACCGAATGGTCACCGGAATTTATTTTGTAATAGGCTTTGTCCTTTTTGTGTGTATAATGAAAGCGACCACTTCCAAAACCAAAATGCGGCCATTAGTAGCTCTTGGTGTGATTAGGGTTCTAATTCTATTCCCTGTAAGATGTATAATGACAAATATGGGTTACACGACAGGGCCGTTAGGTACTATTTGGTATTTGTTGGGTGTTGAAATGATTGGTCTTATTGGCGGGATCATTAATGTGTCACGCCTGCCAGAAAGATGGTACCAAGGGAAAGTGGATTATTTTTTCAATAGCCACAATATTATGCATATTGTCGTCTTGATTGCTCCGGCAGTTTTGCATGGTGGGACTGTGATGGACTTTGAATGGATGCAGAATGCCGAGTGCCCCATTTGAGAACCAAGGACCTGTGCAGTGAACATTTGTCTAATTGTCAGACAGTCTATGGTTTAGTTTTGTAAAAACACAATGGTGTTTAATTATTGGTCTGAAACTTTCATCCCTATTCATATTTTTGACTTCAGATTATTTTCAAATTTTATTCACTTTCATTATTGTGAAAGAAAAACAGTCTGAATATAAATAAAACTATGCCAAACCTTTTGCATTATCCTTGAGCAATGAGTATAATATTATTTCTAAATAAAATTTGAAAATAATCTGAACACAGTCGTGATAGTATTTAGAAGTGTTTTGAAGTGTAAGGCTGCAAGTTATTTAATGATGAATAGATCATCTACTGAAAAACATACTGTTGTTGTAAATTATGTACATAATGCATGAAAAGCCCCGTTTACACTACGCCCAATTATTGGTACAGCACGGATAAAATCGGTACCCGTACCACTTTTTCGGTTCTTGGACTACCTATTTAGCTAAGCCCCGTTTACAATACGCCCAAATTTTGGTACCGTACCACTTTTTGGTCCTTGGACTACCTAAATAGGTAGTCCAAGAACCAAAGAAGTGGTACGGGTGCCAATTTTATCCGTGCCGTACCAAAAATTGAGCGTAGTGTAAACGGGGCTAAAGTGTGTCGTTACAAATATTGGTACCCCAGGGCAAATCCATCCCACCCCCCTGATATTTGTATGTTCCAAACATTTGGTTGTAAATGTTTATATCCTGTTTGTGAAAGCATGGGTGACAGTGCCCAGTACTGTACTTATTAGTGACACCCAGCAATGACATTCCAAAGAGATTATTTTGTCTGGCATGCAAAAACTACTACCTCCTCCACAGGCCTTTCGAAAATATAGGGACTTAGGGAGGGCTGGGAGGCGAAAATTGGTTGGAAACAAACAGATTTCAAATTTTAACCTGCGAACAGGCAAACTTGTTACAGGCTGTATGGCCTGCAGAGGTGGTAGCAAAAACTATCAAATTTTAACCCATTGAGTTGCATTGCACCCCAATGTGCCCTACTTTATTATTTTACTCTGTCTAATGCCAGATCATTTTACTCGTCAAGGCGAGAGCTGGTGCTCAATTGGTTAACCCATTGAGTGGCAGCACTCAACCCCTGACAAGTAAAATTGTCTGGCATTAGACAGAATAAAATAATATGGCATTAGACAGACTGACAGAGTAAAATAATAAAGTATGTAGGGAGTCTGGGCACATTGACAACTTAATGGGTTAACAGGGTGCATAGGCAGATAGTCTGATTAACCCATTGAGTGACAGCACTCTCTCCCTGACAAGTAAAGTCATCTGGCATTAGACCAGTGAACTGTAATAAGTAGGTCGCATTGATACTTAAAGGGTTAAATTAACCCAATAAGCTGCAATGCACCCTACTTTATTATTTTACTCTGTCTGATACCAGATGATTTTACTTATCAAGGGAGAGTGCCATCAGTAATATTGGTTGCCAGTAAATGTGGCAAATCAAATATTGCAACTTGCAAGCAATAATAAGTGGATATTCTAAACTCTAAAGAACAATTTAATTTGATGTTTAGCTATAATCCGGCTTTATTTTTTTCCAACGAAACTGTCCTCGTCTCGTGCACGTCTCCCGAATTCGCAGACTCACTTTTGGGCGTTTCTTAAACCAGCTCGTCTTCTGCGCAACCGCTTCATCTGCATCTTGTGCGCGTATATTGTCTTTGGGTTCATTTGCATGTTTCGCGTTTAAATGGAAGTCTTCGCGCACGGCGGTTGCGCCAATGTAAGCTCCGCCAACAAATTGAGCCATTTGTACTTCCGTTTGTTTACATAGATTCAATTGTCCTTGAGTATTAAATTTCTAATACTTTGATACGAAACCTTGGCTTTCTCCCAGCGATTTATACAGCAATTTTGTGACCCGGGTTTGCCCTTTCCTTTAAATTTAAATGCACTTTCTAGAAAGTTTTAAAATTTGCGTCCACATTCCATTGAAAAATTTTAACTGTCGTCAGTGATAATTTATATCCCCTGCGCCACTTTAAGATATTCAACCTTGCTCCGATAATAATACCTTCCTTTGGTTTTGACGTTCACATCCAGTAATTACCAAACTTGTATTTGCCAGAAATCGAAGAACTTGAATTAATTGTCTTCTCACAGTTTATTGTGGCCTTCTCAGAATCACAACTCACTTGAGTTATCATCGAAGGTATGTACTGCGCGTAAGTCACGAGCCTCGTCAATCGACAATTATTTATACAAATCCACAAACTTGATGCCTGTTGGTGCTACGATCACGGTTAAAACGAAACTATTGCACAGTTTAAAGTCACAAATGATTTCGCATCGAAGGACATTAATATTCAATTATTCATCGAACTTACTAAACGTCGCAATTTATTGTAACAATGGCTGTGATTTATAAAGCAACAAATACTTGGTGGACTTGGTGTGAAATGAATGTAATCTGAGATCTTTCTGTCTTAGGCAACAGTGCACGCAATTGTTTAGCCCATGTCATCGCTGTGACGTATACACACGCAAAAATCTCATGTCTTGTAGCAAGTCTGCCAATAAGTCGTCAACAAGTTGTGTTCGCACTGCTTGTCCCAAGTTGTCAACAAGTATAGAACAAGCTGTTAACAACTTGTAACAACCTTGTTGATATCATCAGACTTGTTACAAGGTTGTTCCAACAAGTCCGATACATTCATGATATAACAATATTGTTACAACCTTGTGTCGTCAATCTTGTAACAATGTTGTTATATCATGACTGTATCAAACTTGTTAGAGCAACATTGTAACAAATCTGCAGATAATGACATCAAGCTTGTTACAAGTTGTTAACAGCTTGTTCCAAACTTGTTATAACAACTAGGAACAAACAGTGCGAATATTGACCTTGTCGACAGCTTGTGAGCAGATTTGTAACAATTTGTTTGCAGACCTGTAACAATCTACTGTAGGATGCTTGTGATGTTACTCTGAGTGTATATCCACACCGGGAAGGCTTGAAAAATATGCCTGGCCACGGTGGGAATCGAACCTACGACCTGTTGGTGTAATGTACTCAGGTGAATAAGATGCTTCATGCTTGCGATGTTACTCTGAGTGTGTGAATTATACTGATATCGAAGGAATACCTGAGTACATTACACCAACACAGAAAAAAATTCATGATTACTAGATTGCATCGATATCGAAGGAACTAGACTCAGTTCCGAAATATCACATACTCGAACCGACCTGACCGCGCAGCTCAGTTGGCAGAGCATTGGATGAGTATTCCAAAGGTCGTGGATTCGATTCCCACCGTGGCCAGGCATATTTTTCAAGCCTTCCAGGCATATTTTTCATATTCTTCAAGGTGTGGATATACACTCAGAGTAACATCACAAGCTTCTTATTCACCTGAGTACATTACACCAACACAGCTATATCAATCTACTGTAGATCTATAGATCCACTGTAGAAGAAGAGTCTACAGTGACTGTGGTAGGTTGTCTGTTCCGGTTTCGCAATGACTGCGTTAATACTTGCCCAAGCATATCTTCCGCGACACTTATCTGGGTTAGGACAAAAGGCGGATGCGGAGTGGACGGAGCGGATATGATGACAAAAATGCGGAGCGGATATGGGGATAAAAGGCGAGGGAAACAGGTGTTGCTTGGGCTGCCTTATCACGTGCAACTGAGTAGTAGAATATAGATAATAACAAAACTCCACATTGCAGATTGTCAGAGTTGATAATATACTGGTATACTAACCCCTATCATATTAAAATTTATCATAAAGGCAAATTTAATCAGTGGAAAATTAAATCCTCGTTCTATTCAAATTCTTAAGTTTTGATTGTTAAATATTACCAAAATCGGCGGATCCTTAAACTCGCCCCCTCCCCCCCCCCCAAAAAACAAAAATGTGTCTCGGTTTTCGCGGACTACATTCCTACGGCAATTACTCATGCTAAAATGTCAAAATATTATTGGCTAATTTCAGCACGATTTCCCGCAAACCAATCAGATGTCGCCATTTTCAAATTGTCGATTTCATGACGTTAGGAGTGTATTCGTATTCCAGAATGTCCTGACACGAAAATATGAAACGACGAAACGTTTTTTGGGGGAGAGGAAGGATCGATCCGCGCGGTTTCGGTAATATGTGTCCTGGGAAGATCCTTCCATTTTATTTTCAAAATAGTTGATTTACTTTACGGGCTTATTATGTGCGAAGATTCAAGTTAAACCACAAGCTTTAGTACACCTAAATGAAGTATTTACCAGCCTCTCAATCACCAGCAGGTTTCGCGGGCTCGTAAAGAGGATTTTCCTTACCACCAGTATCTTCGTCTATGCTTGTCTCTCCAACTGCCAAAGCATTTGTGAAGCCAAATGTATCCTAAATACAAGAATATAAGTGTCCTACTCTCGATTTCAATTTGCTTTTCAAAACTGACTTCCAATGTTTACTTGTAAATTCGAAATGTTCGTTGTAAAGTTCCGAAGTTTGTTTCGAAGTTCGTTCCGATGATTTACGATAATCAAGTTTAGTAAGTTGTAATTGGCTAGTTAAGTGAACCAGCCAATCAAATCGCTTGCTATTGAATCATCGTAAATCATTGTAACGAACTTCGAAACAAACTTCGGAACTTTACAACGAACATTCCGAATTTACAAGTAAACATTGGAAGTCAGTTTTGAAAAGCAAATTGAAATCGAGAGTAAGATTTACTCGGGTTTTTAAGGTAGCAAGTGGGAAAAAATAGGCTAGAGTCCTGCACTACTCTAGAACATTTGGAACACTGTTCTGCAGGGGCCGCGGAACCGGGGGGGCAATGGGGCATGTGCCTCACCCCCCCCCTTTTTTAAAGTGAAAAAAGTGCCATTTTTTCTGGGCTGATGTGCCCCATTTAAAGAACAAAAAAAGTACTAATTTCTTGAATGAACGCCCTCTTTTGTTGGAAAGAAAATGCCCTTTTTGAAGTAACAAAGACTCTGTAAACGCCATTTCCGACGTTATAGAGACTCCATATTTTCAAACATTTTCGTAACGGTTCGTGAACGACATAAAATCGTTTGATTTTTTTATTTTTGGTCATACACAAAAGTGCCCCTTTTGGCCAATGCCCCTCCTCTTTCGAAATGCCTTCGCGGCCTCTGCTGTTCTGGAACGATATGAAATGGAGTGCATATAGTGTTCTGGAACAGTGTTTTGTAATATGACATAACGATTTAAAATTCAGTTTCCTGATAATGGCACTTGTCGGAGTGCCCTGCACTCCTGTCCTCTTTCGGAATGCCCTGCTTCCCCATGATTCTTTCACGGTACATACCATTTCTAGGTCAGCTATATACAAAGGATTCACGCCTTCTTCAAGGTAACCAGGATTTTCCACGTTATGTGTTTCACCTTCAGTGTTGGTTGCATTTACTCCTCTATACAAAATCAAAATGTGATATTAGATTGAGATCACCCTTACACAAGAGCAAGGGAATTTAGATTCGTCAAAGATTTCATTCCGACTTGAGCAACACCACAGGGATTGACTTTACTTTACCACACCTCTTGGGGAGAACAGTTTTGAACTGATAGAACTATCTGGTATACATATACTGTAAATAAAATAAATTTAATTAAGGTTTCTTTCTGAAGTAACACTGGGTCAACACGGGGACACTCATTAGATCTCTAGGAAGAAGAGAACTGATAGAGCTATCCAATATTTATACAATTAAGTAAGTATAGGGGTGTTAATTAAGGTTTCTTTCTGAAGTAACACTGGGTCAACACGGGGACACTTATTTATAAATCTCTAGGAAAAAGAGAACTGATAGAGCTATCCAGTATTTATACAATTAAGTAAGTGGGG